CCGCTTCACCAATGAAACTGGTTTTTTTGCGTTTTTTTTTTTTTTTTAAATGAGTCTCACAAACTGTTATCGCTGCTCTGTCTCAAATCAGTGTCACACTTTCTGCAGAGAAATTAGATTTCGAGAGATGCTGGTTGGGGTGTTTTTAGGAGATTGACATTGTGTTTCTGCTACCCACACCTTCACAGAGCTGATTTTACAGACACAGGCGATGACCAGGGAGGGAAAACCAACACAAAAAAAAAGAATAACAGAAAGGAACAACGGGGTAACACGGGGGGTCATGGCAGGGGGAGAAAGCAGAACATGAAGATGTACGAGAGCGAGTGGGAGGCGAAGGGACCGTGCTTGTGTACTGCTCATCCCGCAGCAGCTCAGTGCTGCGAAACAAAGTCACTGCAGCTGCAAAGGAAAAAACTCCCTTTGCAAAAATTGCATTCTTTTCAAGACATCTCCATCCCCGCGGACGGCCCCGGATCCCTGTCGCCACCAGGCATTGGATGAGACTGCTTGAGCCTGAGCTGGAGCCCTTCCCACCTCCCAGTCCCCACCAGTGCCCTCTTTCCTCTCCTGACTGAACAGGAGTCTGGGCAGTCGAGGAATATAACCAAAGCTGCAGCTTGTACAGGTTTTTCTTTTGTTTCGCTTTGTGTTTTATGAGTCCACAGCACTCCAGTATAGTTCATACTAAATAAAAGCAATAAATTTATATTTCAATTAAAACAGGAGTCCATAGGAAAGCTAATTCATCCCTCAGCTGCAAGGCACACGGAGCAGCCTCCCTGCGACATGATTTAGTTTGCAGCTACCGTTCTTATATTATCTGTGGGAAGGCTGCAGGGAGGAGCTCATCGCCCCGGAGCCGAAACGCCTGCGGAGAAAGCAGGCTCAGCCGAGCAGAGCCACCGTCCCGGGTGACACCGACAGCCACGTCCCCCCGCCCCGCAGCCAGGAGACCCACGGGAGCTGCTGGGGGCCTTGCCGGAGGAGCCGCTCTGTCTAGAC